AAAAGATGCAAGCATTAGGGGAAACTGAGTGAAGGGTACACAGGAACTCTCTGTACTATGTACCAGTAATTGCATAAATCTAAAATTATTCAAATATAAACAGTTTATTTTTTTTAAATATATTTTTATTGATTTTTTACAGAGAGGAAGGGAGAGAGATAGCGAGCTAGAAACATCGATGAGAGAGAAATATCGATCAGCTGCCTCCTGCACATCCCCCTCTGGGGATGGGCCCGCAACCCAGGTACCCGCCCTTCACTGGAATCAAGCCTGGGACCTTTCATTCAGTCCGCCGACGCTCTATCCACTGAGCCAAACCGGTTTCGGCTAAAAAGTATTTTTTTAAAATAAAAATAAATAAATGACCGCTCCCTTGTCAACTCTGTGCCCACTACCTCTCCGGCGATATCTCGGCTTCTACAAGCATCCGAGAACATCCGACACCTCAGCCAACTCTGCCGTACGGACACCTGCTTTCGTCCAAGATGGCCGCGCCCATGGCGCCCAGTGTCCAGTCTCAGCTACACGGTGCGCAGAGGGCGCCGCCATCTTTCCTTGTTCCCCAGCGGGCGGAGCGCGCCTCGTGGCCTCGGATACGCACCGCCTTTAAACCCTTACAGACAACACGGCAATGCGGACCGTCCGTCCAACGAGGAGGTCACAGCAACGCGGTGGCCAGGAATGATGGCCATTTCTTCCCACAGCCGTTACGGCCGCTAGGGTCACAAACGCCGGGGTGGGCGTGGCCACATACGTCATAGAGCGGGGCCCACAGTTGGAACTAGGAAGTCCGCCGTCGCCAGGCGGTCCTCGCGGGACTCCCTGGTGCCAGGCAGCCGGCGAGCGTCCTTAGGAACCGCGAATGGGAAGCGGCCTCCGACGCGGGCTCAGCCTTCCGTCCCCGCCCGCGGTGTCCGGAGCGGCGCGGGATCTGGTGAGTCGGACTCTAGGCTCGGATTCTCGGCTGGCGGAGCTCCGTGACACGCGAGCTTGTGGACCGTTGTCGTTGGGGATCTTTTCGGATTCCGTCACTAAGCGGTCTGGCCGTTGGTGACGGGGCCGCGGGCGGCCAGGGACTGAGGGTGCGAAGAAGTCACCCCCCGGAATCCGACTCTCTCTGGGTCTGAGGTCCACGGGGGTCGCTCCGCTTGTGGGACTCGGCGGGTGAAAGCGGGGGCGGAAAGTCTGTTAGCGGACGCCGTGCTCAGTGGCAGAGAAGCCCGGGTTTGGGGGTGCCCCTTTTGGTTTCTGGGGCATGTTTGTGGTTTAATATAGGACTCGTCGTAGAGACGCCTGATGGGGTCGTAACTGTTGAGAGGTCAGGGCCCCCCAGAATCATAATCCGGCTCAAACCTGGATTCCCGGAAACAGACCGGAAGGATGCCCGCCCCCAGTTAACCCAAAGCAATGTCACTCCCTCCACTGCTGGTCTGTCCTAAAAACCTGTGTCCTGTCCCACTGATACCTGAGGGGCGAGTTCCTAGTCCGGACTGGAATCAAAAAGGGTTCAAGAGGGAACCTTGGAGTGAAGTGGAGGAGCAGGGATTTTTGTTTTGAGAAAGTTTTATTATAAAGCTGGAGACAGCGAACCAAGGAAGGGCTTAGGATAGAAGAAGCAACAGGAGAGCGCCTAAGCAGGGCAGCTTTGGCTCACTGGGAAGTCAGAGAAAAGGGGGCCTTGGAGAGAGACCTTGTTCTTCTTTCTCAAGATTGCTAAGGCTATTGGGGTCTTTTATGGGGCCATGTGATTTTTTGGAATATTTTGTTGTAGATCTGTGAGATATGCCATTAATAGGAATCGCGCTGAGTCTATATATTGCTTTGGGTAGTATGGGCATTTTAATTATGTTAATGTTTCGTATCCATGAACATGGGTATGTTTCCACTTGTTTGTATCTTCCTCAGTTTCTGTCTTCTGTATCCTATAATTTTCCAAGTAGAGGTCGTTTCCCTGCTTGGTTAAATTTATTCCGAGGTACCTCATTTTCACTTGTTGCAGTAGTATGTGGGATTGTTTTCTTAATTTCTCTGATAGTTCATTCTTGTCCTATAAAAATGCCACTGATTTCTGAATATTAATTTTGCATCTTACGACCTTACTGAATTCATTTTTAGTTTTAGTCATTTTTAGTTTTAGTCAGTTTTGGTCATTTTTTGGTGGCGTGTACAGGGTTTTCTACATATACGATCATGTCATGTGTGAATAATGCCCGTTTTACTTCCTCCTTTCCAATTTGGATGCCTTTTATTTCTTCTTTTTTAAAAAATATATATTTTATTGATTTTTTACACAGAGGAGGGGAGAGGGATAGAGACTTAGAAACATCGATGAGAGAGAAACATCGATCAGCTGCCTCCTGCACACCCCCTACTGGGGATGTGCCTGCAACCAAGGTACATGCCCTTGACCGGAATCGAACCTGGGACCCTTCAGTCCGCAGAGATCTATCCACTGAGCCAAACCGGTTAGGGCTTATTTCTTCTTCTTGTCTGATTGCTGTGGCTAGGACTTCCAGTACTATATTGAATAAGAGTGGACATCCTTGTCTTCCTGATCTTAAGGGAACCACTTTTAGATTTTGCCCATTGAGTATGATGTTGGCTATGGGTTTGTCATATATGGACTTTATTATGTTGAGTTTTGATCCCTTTATTCCCACTTTGCTGAGAGTTTTTATCATAAATGGATACTGGATTTTATAAAATGCTTTTTCTATATCTATTGATATGATCATGTGATTTTTTTCCTTCATTATGGTTATGTAATTTATCACTTTTATTGATTTGCTAATATTGTACCAACATTGCATTCCTAGAATAAATCCCATTTGATCATGGTGTATGATCTCTTTAATATATTGCTGGATCCAGTTTGCTAATATTTTGTTGATGTTTTAGCATCTATGTTCACAGGGGATATTGGCCTATAATTTTCTTACTTTGTAGTGTGTTTTTCTGGTTTTGTTATTAGGATAATGCTGGCCTAATAAAATGAGCTTGGAAGTGTTCTCTCCTCTTTTTAATAGTTTGAGAAGGATAGGTGTTATTCTTCTTTAAATATTTGGTTAAATTCACCTGTGAAACCATCTGGTCCAGGACTTTGATTTCTGGGAGGTTTTTTTTTTTAATTTTATTTTCTTGTTTAAAGTATTACAGATAGTAATATATATGTCC